CATCCTACATTCATCCTTCACTCATATTTGGGTTAAAATACGCACATAGTGGCGTCCCCATCTTAAACAATTGTTAACCTTAAAGATTGAAAGAGTCTGAAAATGGAGAATTAAGAAAATTCTTTTTTCCAAGTAAAATTGAAATTTGTGTATAAAAAATATATCTTTCTTGTTTTTTGGTTTTATTTATTTTTTAGATCACATAAAGACAAAGACGGTTCAAAGTACAGAGATAACCACAAGTTTGCCAATAAGTAAACTGATCATCTCTCACTGTAAGATATTGGCAAAGTTGGACACGACAGCTGTTGGTTGGGCTTGTGACAGTCCAAATATGAAAAACTGAGTTTCCGATACCTCATGATTTATTGTAAAACTAACAGTAGCCATGCAGTATAAAATTAATATTGGATGTACAGTATTTCCTTACACTACTAACTACAACTATGAATTCTACGTAACAATACATAATCGGAGTTTTATTCTATATCCCGGTTTAGCCTATCATAACCTAACCTAGCCCTACTCAACCTAACCTAACTTAACCCTAAGCAGGAACTATTGAAGTTATAATAAATGTTATATAGCAAAAATATAAATAAATAATAGATTAATTCCTTTATACGCCTACAATTAGGCCCTACAAGACTGCTATGTAACAATACAAAACTAGAGTATTATTGTTTGTCCCGGTTTAGCCTATTCTAACCTTACCTTGCCTAACTCAACCTAACCTAATTTAACCCTAAGCGAGAATAATTATTGTAGATAATGTAACTGCATAATGCATATATGCTGTAATGCATATTATAACTTTTATATTAAAAAATGTTGTGTTATCCGTATAACAAAAAATGTCCAAAATATTTTCGATTCTTCATCCAACACCGTGAATAGTTTGTCTTCTTGAACAAGTTAATATAACTGCATTATTTGTAACACTGGATATTTTCGTAAATAGAGCCTATAGTGTCTATAAACCATGTGCAACTACTTTATTTTTAAAGATTAGGTAGATTCAAAGATTACCTAATTCGTATGTTGTTGAATATGTTACCCATAGATCATGCTTTTGAAAAATTGGATATTATTTTTTTCTGCACTTCTAATTTTTATTTTGGGGTTAAAGATGCAAAAGTTCACAATAACTGGCCCAGTCGGTTTGGCTTGCATAAAAAGTTGTCGTATTTTAACAGAAATCGTGGTGACAGCAGCAGTAGATAATTGTAATGGTTAATTGTATACACACCAACAACTTACATTATAGGGTTGAATGTATTGTATAAGCCAAAGAGGCTGTTCAGGTTGAACTGTCACAAAATCTATGTTTGTGGAGCTTTAACTAGCGTTTTGGTGGAATTATTTACTATCTTATTCGTTAGTAACATAAAAAGCTTTGCTAAAGTTATTTTTTATGAAAATGTTGTCCATGTCTGACAAAAATTTTACTTTAGTGGTCCTTCCTAAGATTACTATTGTTGGATTTTGGTATGATAAAATTTACTTTGTAAATATGTATACACATAAGTGTTTAGGTAATGAGCCAACATTTTAACCAATTTCTGGAGATCCCCGATACACGTTTGATTACAAACTTAACCAAACACGGAAAACCCATTGGCTTAGAAATTTCAAAGAAGTCTTACACCATAGATACTTTTCTAACATTGAATTCAATTCAACAAAATCAATTACAGAAACTTGAATCAAATCCTCCAAGAATCAAAGTTGAGTACTCCGGATCATGCAGGGATGTAAACCACTTAGGGAAGACAAAGTTTGAAGTAAATTTTCTACTTCAACTTGGAATACGACCGAACTGAACCCGAGTTACTTGTATTTACACTTGTCTTTTGTTGAAGTACAAACTTTGGTTCCGGATTCAGATTGATGATTGTCTTCGATTAGATTAAGAACTAGTTTGTAGCAGATTACTGCATGGTGTAAATATTTTCTAAAATTTGACACCTTGCTTGCTATACTTTCTTCTTCGCTATACCGACTTTCTACCAATACTAAAACTACTTCCTAGTGTTTAAATACTGAAACTACTGTAAGTTAAGTATTCTCCTTTGGCATTTTGAAATTTTGCAAACGTTAGTAATATAAATAGCATTAATCCAACAAAGTTAAAATCTAAAACTTTTCGTAGTATGTCTGGATTGGTTTTGTTTAGAATATTGTTATAATATTGTTTAGAAGGAACAAATTTTTAAGCACAATGTTGTATATTGGTGGATTACACTTAAGTATTGAAATGAGCTAGAATTTTTATTTTTTTATTTATAGTTTACAAACCATCTATATCTTTAACCAACTTTTAAAAGTTATAGACTTTAAGATTAAAAGATGAGAAAATGGCAAACTAAGTTAACAGTTCAACATCGTCTATATATCTTCAAGAAGAACTGTTAATATTGTAATTAATACTAATTTGAAATAAAAACTTCGCCAATATTTCTGAATTTTTTATTTTTACTATAAAAATTAAAAATTCAGAAATATTGGCGAAGTTGTTATTTCAAATTAGTATCGTCTATATATATGTAGAAAGATAAATGGGAACTTGGAATAAAATTCACCTTTTGTGTCCCTTAATGTATGTTTAATATTTACACTAATTATATTTACTCAGTAATAATAAACTGAAATTAAATGTGTTTTCTACAATAGTAGGAATTGAAGTTTTTTTGTCACTTGTAACTATACAACCCTGTGATAAGTAGTACGTATGTTGTCTGGTTTTCTAAAGGTATTGTGCATAGACGATGATTTCTTTGGCATAATTCTTGAATTGGTACTTTTGAAATGAATGTTATTTATTATTTAAAACAAACTCTATATATTTAGATTGTTTTTTTTCACTTTAACTTTATTGGTTTAAAAGACGCATTTCATGACAACTCCGTAATATTTGTACATAAATGTTGGCTTTCATTTAAGTAATTAGAAATCCCAACCCGACAATGGTGTTTTGAAGCCAATTAATTGAATGTCAGTAATCCTTGTTCTGGCCTACACAGGAAGGATGACAATTAATTAAACAGCCTGAGGTCCCTGCTCTGCTCAACACTTCCTGGGGGAAGATTAAAACCTCTGGAATAAATTATATTATGCTCAAACCAAGAAACTGCACCCTTGGGAAAACATACAGCTTGACTAACTGTACTAGAATTGTGCCACTCTATGGATAAAACTTTTTAGTACGTAGTGTGTGTCAGTTATAGTTTTTTTTTTTTTTTTTCCTAAGGACGCTAGGCACGAGCCTGGGATTGTTTTTCACATTACTTCAGGCTAGACCTAGGGGTTGCGGCATTATCACTTAGATAAAATCCATTGGTGACTTGGCGGGGATCGAACCCGGGACCTCAGGGACTGAAGTCCCGCGCTCTAACCACTACACCAGCTCGCTCCCCCAGTTATAGTAGGCCTACTGAATATTGTAGTTGTAGAGCCCTCTACTACGATATTGGTTTCTATCTGTTTTGGTATAAATTACTTGAATTTATGTCCATATTTTGTGTTTACTGAGGGTATAGAAACCTGTATAAAGGTACGGGATTTTGAAACCCTTTGCGGTCAAATGGCAAGTAAAGGTCGCCGAAAAAATGAAAAAAATTACCTCAAATTGTTAACACGGAAAATATCACTGTAATAACATCTATGTAGGTCCTCGTTTGTGTGAACTATTTTACACTAACCTCTATATATGTCCTTGTTTGTGTCACTGATATTAATGTTTGGAGATTATTGTTGTCATATATGTGGTATCTGCTTAAATTGATAAATTTACTAATAAAATAAATATTTATTGAATTATTTATTGCATGTTAATATTTATATGATTATTTATTTGCCTTATTAGTTATTAGTAAAAGTTATTTACCAACCTTGGTTATTTTGCATGTAATTGTATTTTGTAATTGTATTTTTTGATGTACCCCTTGAGGGAAATCAATAAAAGGATGATGATGATGATGAAATTTACTAACGTACCTATTTCGCACTAAACCACATGTCTTCGAAATATTTCATGAAAACAAAAAACTTCCAAATTGAAAAAATTTTCAAATTGAACCCCATCACCCCCACCTCCCTAACGCTCAAAATAGTGTTACTTTTTATCAAACAATACGGAGACTACATTGAACAGTTTGGTTTTAAAATATTGCTTTCACTTTTGATGTTGAGACTTAGGTCTAATTGCAACACACTATAACTAGTATACACAAATCTTTAATCTCGTCCTGCTTTTTTATTATTTTAAACCCCCACTAACCCATCCAGGAATCTAAATTAAACAAAAGAATAGCTAAGGTATGGATATAACAAAATTCTTCGCTATAAAGTATCATTCACAATTTTAAAACTGAGTTTCAATAAGTAAGTTTAATGAAAAATTAGTATTTTATCAACGATACCATTTTGAACGATATTAATATAGAGGGACATTGTGAGATGATAGGGAGAGAAAACATTCCTTTTATTGTCAATCTTAGCACATTATGTAGCCGTTGAAGAAAATTAGAGAGATTCAATTAGCATAATGTATTTCTGAGGTGTTAATTCGAGTGATGGTGAGAGATCTTGATTTGCCACAGGCTCTGTTCCCACTTGGTTGTAATTACTTGACAGGCTGCTATAATCCAACACTACCACATGCTATACCTTAGCTATATTACCTGTTATGTCTACATTAGGCACTTTACTTAATTTGTTTATAACCAGAGAACAGTGTTAATAGTGTACAAAGTATATTTTTATGGTAAATGGCATTAGGGTGACTGTTTTTCATCAGATATAGATCAATTCGTGTGGCATTGAGTATTACACAACGATAAAAAAATTTTCACAAACCCAAAGTACAGCCATTACTGCTTAAATATATAAACAGAATTTGTAAAATAGCACCTGGTAAATAAAACGGACTATTTTGTACAGCATTTATTATACAAATAAATATTCTCAATAAATAAAACAATAAATTAAATCACATTTCTACTCTACTCCGCAACTTGTTCTGCATTGGACTCTTCAACTCTGTCATCCTCCACTTCAACCTCCCTCTCCGTAGTTTCCACCACTTGACTTTCAATGTCTTCTAGCTTCTCGGATTCCACCTCCGCGGGCGCTTCTACGACGACTGCTTGAGATTCAGACTCTTCTGCGTCCCCATCAACTCCACCGTCCACTTTGTTCGTGGACAACACTCCACCGATGTGGAATCCTCCGTGGAGCCCATGATGATGGTACCCATGATGGTGGTACCCGTGATGGTGTTCAACTTCATGATGTTCGCAGAATGGAAAGTGTGAGTTCACAGGGACACAATTCTTCGCCTCCATCGTAGCAGTGACCCGGGTGTCCAGCACCTTCTCTACCTTGGTCACCCAGAGAGTCTTCGTCTTGTATTTGATGACAGGGCGATGGATCAGGTGGTGAACCATGTCCAGAGGGGTGTGACCACTGTTTTCTGCTGGAGCAGGTTCTTCAGTGGGTTGATCGTCTTTTAGCTTTCCAGGCTCTTCCTTGATGGGAGGAGTCAGTCGGACCCAGCGGCCGTCTCGGTTACCTCCTTGGGAGTCAAGTTCGTCTACTCCGTCTACTGGGTCAGCAGGTTCTGAAGGGGAGGGGGAGGACTCGCTGATGTACTCGCCACCAAAAATTCTCGTTGGTCTGGAAAAAGGGGAATGATAAATTTACTAAATTGGACACTAAAAAGATGATATAATACAAAAATTTTTAGATTCTCCAGTTGCAGCTCTATTTTTCATTGATGAATATGTATTTTTAATAATAACATTTGCTGTCGTAATGGATTTTACATTTGAAGCTCTTTATTACTTTTGCTGAGTAGTGGCCCTTAATAGCCGGCTGTCAAGTAAGATTATAGTCTAGTAATAGTAATGGTAAATGTGTAAATCGTGTTACCTTTTTACTATCTATTAGTCTCTAAATGTAAGATTACAACATTAACATACACTTGGTTAATTCTTACTTTAGGATAAACAAGTGAACACTTTAAAACAAAGTTAATTACAATCATATTAGGGAAAAATTCTGTGTATTTCAACTTTTTGTCTCATCTTATAACCCACCTCCTAATATATAAGTCTAGCCCAGAATTGTTTGACACATTGCATCAGGCTCTTAGAGGGCTGAGGCATTATCACATAGATAAAAACATTAGTGATTTTTGGGTTTGGAACCCGGGACCTCAGTGACTGAGTATCTGACACTAGCCCACATGGCTCACTTGCTGCGTATTCTGATTTAAATTGAGTGGATGATAAGTATACAATCCTGTGAAATACCTTGCATAACTTTGTTACTGATCATGACCACTTGTTGCTTTAGCAATAACCAATTGTTGAAAGCCCAAAGGTCAAGGACAGCTTAGTCCAGTTTTAACCATTAAAAAACTACTTGTTTTTCTATTGATCGAACTGTGAACTTCTCTCCCAAAATACTCACTCCAGGTTAAGATAGTCGCCGGCCATGGCTGTGGCAGTAGGAGATATGCTGAACAGTTCTGGAGCTGCTGTAGGGTTGATGGCGAAGTCCTGCACTCCCTCTCTATCCTGTACCTCGTCTCGCTCATGGTGCTCATGGTGCTCATGGTGCTCATGCTCATGATGGTGAGGCAGACAAGCTGGAGTACCCTTGGCTGCCGTCATACAAATAGGGTGCACGGTTACTCGGTCTGTTACCTGAAACATCATAGATTCTAGTAAATTGTTACTTTAACAATGCAAGACCTCCTGTAGGTGCTGACTGAATGGATCATTCTATTGGTCAGGTAATAGACGTACAGTTAAGCAGGAGGAATTTAATAAACCAGACTGTGATCTGTGAATTTCAATTCCTCGGTGGACCAGTTTGGTACCTTCTAAGCCTATAGAAAATTCATTAGACCTTAGAGGAATAGGAAAAATCTGTTTATTTTCTGAATAACATGATGAAGACTTTCAATAAAAATAATAGGTGTAAAATTAATACCAACAATTTCGAACACACTTTTTAATTACCGAAATAATTGGCCCTACCTACGTAAACTGGCAGATCTGTTTTCTGCATATCCCAAATAGTTATAGCATAGAATAAATAAACACTTCATCTATGGTTATAGGTTTCCCCATCTTAACATCAGGATCATCCACAAGGAATATGGTTCACGTTCCTACCAAAGTGTTAAAAAATTGCTATTATAAAGTAGTATAAGTAATTAGATATTCAATTATATACAGTTGTGAAGTGTGCCATGATACTTGATGGACCATTTTAAATAGATTACTTTTGTTCAAATAATTCTACGTCATTGGGATTTTGACATCTATTTTATAAGGGAACGGCCCAGCCCTGAAGTAGTGAAACTACACGTACCACCATTAGATTCACCCTAGCCACTAACAGATCAGATACCCACCTCAACAAAAACAGTCTTAGTAGCATGAATGGTCTCTCTAGGGAAGTGATGTTGAAGATGCTCATGTATATGAGGCAAGTGCTCGTGCAAGGGAGGTAAGTGTGGCAACTCTAGATGAGGAAGTTCTAGATGAGGAAGTTCAAGATGAGGAAGTTCCAGATGAGGAAGATGTGGAAGATTATCAGGATGGAGGGGATGATCCGGCCTATTATGAGGATGCAGGGGGTGGTCAGCAGGATGTGGTATGTTAAAGATTATTGGAGGTCTGGTAGGCTTATGGTGTTCGTGATGGTGTTCTGGATGATGTTCATGATGGTGTTCATGGTGGTGTTCATCCTTCTCGCCATCTTCCTTATTGGAAGTGACAGCAACATCTTCCTTCACCTCATCTTTCTTGACGTCGTCTTTTGTGACCCTGGTGCCGAATATGCTTGGGAGACTGATTCCTACTGTTTGGTGTAGAAACAGACAAAGCAGAAGTGCTGAAACCAGTGACAGTCGAGGCATCTGAAACAAGATTTTTTTATTAATTAATCGACATAGAAAATTGGTAGCATAGAAGAAAAGTAGGCTTGCATTGTTCACCTCTGTTTAGCAAGATCCATCTCTCTCTCTCTCTTTCTTTGGTACTGAAATTTAATATATTCCTAATCTACTATCAAGCTCTCATTTGAACTATATACTCCCGGCAATCACAAACAAAACTGTTAAGCTACCGATAGCGAAGTTTCTTTTTATATTTGCAGCCAAAATTGCCTTATAGCTATATCTTTGCAACTAAAGACGTTTTAAAAGGCAATAGTTTCACGTAAGGATTTTTTCGAATCACGTATATGATGATAAATCACTAACAATGCTATTGACTTTAAGTTTATCGTTAATAAAAATGTATCAACTTCAACTCCATCGACCTATTGATAAGAATATTATGGATCGGAGTCACTTACAGGAGATAATTATACATTAATATTTCATTTCTTTACTTCGCATAAAATACTCCATCTTATACTTTGTACATCGCCAACTTTTCTTTACCATGTTCTGCAGGTTTTTGATCTACAAATGAATCAAATACGGGTGTTCTGTAAATTCTCAGTTTCTGTACAAATCTAATGTTCTAGATTCCTCCACCTAAAAATGAATTTAAATTCAAGATCCCAAAATCGTGAAACTACTTTTGTAGTGATGGGAAATATCCTCAATCGTAATTTTAAAATAAACCCTACTCCAACACCCCCCTAGTCAAAGAATAAAGGTTAATCTCTAAGCAAATCTAATAATCTTTTCTAGGTATTTCCCATTAAAAATATAACACCAATTATTCAAGATCCTGAATCAATGTGATACATCTGTCACACTAATCCCTTATGAAAAACTTCATTAGTTATAATTTTAAAACTCTACTCCTACGTTACCACCAAACATTTTTATGACCCAAGCAAACCCCCAATCAAAAATACATCAGAAAAGGTTATAGGTATTGTTTATTGTGGGGTATAAAGGAGATATTGGCATTATCATGTTCAGAGAATCGCTCTTTACTAAGCCCCACGTATGTGCCCTCACAAAGATGGCCGCTGTTCCACTGATGGCCATGATGGCACAACGATGGAGGCTGTGATGGCTCGGCTAGACGTGCAACGACTGTGACGTCATCAACACTAATGGCGTCTTCGCTAAAAGCTCATCATTTCGAACCAACTTAAGACCTTATTTGTTTTTTAGTACTCTCATTAGTAGATTTTATTTTCGCTCGGTATAAAAAGTGGGGGATTTAGAGTGACTTAGAGTCTTGGTTTCTTTTGTACTCTAATGAAAGAAATTGACGAAAGGAATTGTGTTGAAATTGTAATATTAATTTGTGTTACTAGTGCGAGAAGTAGCAGTTTGCTAAGTTCGAGAGATAAGCATATCAAATAGTGTTTGGTTGTAGTGGAGATAGTTTACGCGAACAACAATATAAAATTTCCCGCACTGTAACCAGTATACGTCATACATTTATTGAATTTGTTTATGTTTCTTCTTTACACAACAAGAACTAAGAGTGTAGTTGCGTATTTCTTTTGATGTTCTGCAGTTCTGAAAAGTGGCTTTGTTTCTTTTTTGTGTTAAAACTTTAATAGCTGTTTTAAAAGTTTAAAAATATAACTAAACCACTGATTAATAGGTTATGCTTACAAAAATATTACATGTACAGCAGGAATTCTAAAACAAAAGGAACAACAGTGCAAAAGCTGGTTTACAAGTATTTATAGCTATTGTAGCCAACTTAGTTTTACAATCGGCTGTTTGAAAGCAAGATTGATACAAGCATAGATTGAAGAGTAGACAAAGAGTAGATTAAAAGAATGTCTCCTTTAATCTATGATCCATAATAACAAAGTCAAGGGCAAAACCTTAAATTGAAAAATGTTCCTTGATAATTAAAATAAATTAGTTCTCTTCCGTAGAACTCTTTCTACTCGCACAACCAAAACTTATATTAAACTTAATGAAGGTCTATTGCACTTGTGGCTGTACTTACTTAAACCATTGTTTTCCAACTTATATAAAATATATGTGTTAAGAATTATAAATTTTTAATTAACTTACTTTATGGAAATCCGTAACTAATTTCGAAAAGATATAATAGTCTTTCAATATTATGTTGGAATTTTTTTTATATAAAAGAACATCAAGACGCCAAAACACGTCTGTCTTTGACAAATTAGTTTCTATCACTTCCAAAAGAACACCTAACAATATTCTATGGAATTTTTCTCATTATAAAGTTTTTAATTTTCTTCGAAACAATGGATTATCCAACCCAGCGGGTGATTTTGAAAGTTTAGGCAATGATGGAGAGTGTAGCAGACATCGAGATTGACTTCCAAACAATTACAGTGAAGTATTGATTCGGTGAGGAAAAAACTATAAATAATAGAAAATTAATAATATCTTCTTTCTTATAAAGAAATAACACTACTGCTCGTGCACTTGTCGACGATAAATGTATGTTAAATGTTACAACGAAACCGACAGTGAAAATAGTCGAAAATGTAACTATAAATTTTCTTGATTAAAAAATTACTTTACAAGGAAATGAGTGTACAAATTGTGATTTTTAAAGTTCAAAACTTGTTTCCAAGGCTTAAAATATAATGCAATTTTACTTTTGCACCTTTTAATTTTCTAAGATTATATTTATCAACTGTAAGACAATAATTATGTGAATAAACAAATTCACTATCAATTAAATTTGATGATTTTATTTCACACTATAAAGAGTGATTTAACTACCCCGATCAGGTCAAAATTATAAAAAGTAACCTTTTTGAAAAAAAATTAGAAACTGCATTAAATCAATGTAGTTTTTTATAAAATGTTTAATCTATTGTTTAAAATTTGACTGTGGTTTAACACTCTACTGAATTATCAACTGTTAAATTACAATTGGCATTCGAACCGGTCAGCAGCTCAAATCTTTACTAGCATTTTAAATATTTAAAACGCTAGGAGGACGAAGTCCTCAAGGAAATTGCCTTTTTCGTTACCATGCGTCCTTCTGCTCGTTTATAAACTCTAAAATTACACATTGATTGTAAAAATCTGTTAAGTTTGGCGGGTAAAAAGGGATGTTACAGTTATTGTGTACAGTACCCTATATAGGATACTATAATGTTTATTGACAGTGAAGGTCTCTACGTATTTTAATCTGAACACCATTTACAGTTGAGTGTGATTAATTTTGCCTCGTTTCTGACTAAGATCAGCTGTTTATTTAGTCAAAACTATATTTGAAAGCGAAAATAAACAACGACAGCTGGGTGCAGTTTTAAACAATGAAAAATAATACCACCAGCTGTCTACGATGATCAGCTTTTAATACGTAAACGAAACAGCTGATCTAAGTCAGCAATGGTCATCGTACAGAGGGTCCCGTAAGTAAAAAGCATAACGTAGGGAAATTATATCCATAGGTCAAAATAAAGGGAAATTCATGAATTATTAATTACTTTCTCCCCCTATACCATAGTATATGGAGAAAGTATTGTTTTCGTCAAAATTTTCGAGTTTGAGTTTTGAGTGGATATATTCGTTTTGGGTCCCCCTGGACCCAAAAAAGTGGTT